CAAAGTTTTGTTGTTTTCGAAAAAAAAATTTTAATCATGCAAGTAATCAATACTTTCAGTTTAAAACTTTGGTAAATCGATGACAAATAATAATTATTGATATTAATAAGTAATATTTTTCGTTTTTATTTATGACATCAGTTTGGCTTTCGTAGTAATTCGTCAACAATTTTAGCTGTACACAGATTAAGTGGCATCGTCCTATATACCTTTGAGAGCAAAGAGTACGTAACCTCTATATCTGGATTTAACAAAAGCGCCGAGAGTTTGTTCATTTTAATAATGAAAATTCGGCATGTCTAACTGTGCAAAGCTCGGTCTAAAGGCCAATTCTATTTTTAAACTTCATTAACGATTTATCAGTTGCCAAATTGACACTAAATTTATATACACTCATCGGCACGAAAAACGGGCCACCCTTATTTTTTTTTAAACATCCGAAAATGTGCAAAATAAAATACGATTTCGGTTGGAATACCTTGATGCTGTTATGCAACGCTTATTGTAATATTTTTATCCAAAAATAACAAAAAAAAACATATTATTTTAACAGAAAATTATAAAAATTCAATAATCAAACAAAGCTTAAAAAAAAGCTAAGGTTTCCAAAAAAAATCAATCATCACTGACACACTGTTTAAGGACGTCAACAACGGGTATTTTCCCCACGAACCTGTAAGACTGCTTCCATTCTCCAGGGCATCCCATGAAATAAATTGTTTATTTCTTCTTGTTGGATATTCTTTCATTCCTTTAAAAGCATATTCTGAAGCTCATTTAAAGTGTGGGGTGCAGGTAGACTCAATTAATATGCTGGTCAAGAAACAACATCAAAAATAAGCGTAGTAAAAACGTCGAACCACTGTATAATAAGAATATAAGAAAAATATTAGCTGGCCCGTTTTTCATGCCGGTGAGTGTAGTATGTACACGATACAATACTCAGTACAACTCACCCTGGCCTAAAATAATTACAGAGTAATATATGAAGTGTGAAGTCGATTGTTAATTTTTGTTTTTATCTCTAATCCACTTTGCCTTAAGAACGAAAAAACTAAGCTAATTTACTTCTAACTAGTAGAAATTTTAGATACCCACTCAATAGCAAGATGACGTAAGAGGCTCACATCACTCAGCTGGCGAAGAAGATTTCCCCAAGCATCTATGCTTATGCGTTCTTTTCAACATACTATGTGCACATCTGTTTTAAAAACTGATTATTTTGACTGCATACATGGTGGTCATTCTTGTCATCTTTATAAAATACCTCATATTTATATAATACAAAAACCTGTAAGTAAAAAACAAATAGATATGGATTGTTAAACTACAAATGAAAAGCATGTTATGCGTAAGCTACAAGTGTGTTTTTAATCATCAAATTTTGTGATAATTTCATCAATTTTTTAGTTACTACTAATAAGGGTACTGTATTCCTAAAATCTCAGGCAAAACAGATACGCCGTTTTTGATGTACTGAATAAAAAAATTGTTTCATTTGTTAATTTTTTGACCCTGGATAAGTAATTCTAAGAAAATATGAATCCATTGATAAACTATAAGGGTAGCCTCCTATTAATATTTTGTACATTTTGGATAAGATTAGCCCAAAATGTTGGGACGGCGGCGAAGTTATTAAGTTTTTGTAGAGGATAAACAGATGAATTTTGGTTAACGATTTATTATATAATTTAAGTAGGATTTACTTTGCAAAATTTTGAGATAACATCATCAAATTGTAATTAGGAATCAGATAAATTTTGGTTAGCGATTTACCATCTAAACGATATTCCTAAAATACGTTTAAAATTTCACAACAATCTGTCCAGTAGTACAATTATTTGTCTGATAAAACCGCCAACAGACAAACAGACTCCAGGAAAGATACTTTTTTTTATACTAAGGATTACGAAACGTCGAGAGACTGACAAATTATTTTATTTAAAATCAATTTCAATAACGTTATTTTCAAATAAAATGTTTTAAAATTTCTTGTCTCTTTTTCAACTGCCTTGTTGAAAATTCTGAAATTTCTTATTTGTTCTCATCTTTGACTAGCATTTTTCTCGAACGTCCATCCCAGTTTGTGTATTGAAAAATTCCGAATTCATTATCTATTGATAAGAGTCCCCTTCCCAGTACAAAACTGTAACACACTAGGTTTGTTTACAATCAGACTTTCTAGATATTTTTCAAAATAGTAACATTTAGTACTACATAAAGTATATTTAGAAAATAATTTTCTATACTTCTTCCAACTTCATATAAAATTCCAAAGTGTCACTTCTTCACTTAATTTTCCAAAATAATATATTTACCTACTGTGTCCACTTTTATTGCAAGTACAAAAATGTTAAATAACTGTCTTATTACTTCATCTGATGTAAATGTAATAGGAGTAATATTTAAAAATAAATTATTTAACTAGTTACGTTGATTAAAACCAACGTTACTGAAGCGTTTAGTAGCCACAAACAAAACCATCACGAGTTGGACGTCACTTCTGAATTACTTTAGTATAAATACGACATGAACAGAAACTTGAAAATTATTCTTTAAATAAATTTAAAGTTTCTATTTTTTCTCTGACTTCAGTATAATTCAGGTACATTTTCAAACATAAAAAATTGTCAACATAAAATATTTCAATATTACAAAAACTTGTTAAAATTTAATAAATTTTATCAACTTATAACCAGCACCAAATAAAATGTAGTTATTTATGTGTCCACAGCCCACAGCAAAAAACAGAGTAAAGCCAAGACCTAAAAACACTTGACCGAGCACCTTATACCTTTAGCCGTTGTGTTACATAAAAATCTTTCCCAGCGGAATAGCTCAAAAAGAAATTGAAAGTGAAAAATATTTTATTTTTCTTAAGTACAGAGACATTAGTGAAAAAACCGATCAAAGGTAGCCATAAATTTTTGAAAGTTTGTCTTTAGTTGTTGCATTTTCAACTCAAACTTTCCAAATGACGGTAATTTGACAAGACAAAAACTTTATAAATGTTCAAAAATCCTGTTAGTGGGGTGCAGATTGAGTCCCGACGTAGGGCTAATGCGAGTTAAGCAACGCTACCCCGAAGTCAAGACCTGATATGTGACCGACTGTGCTCGAATCGCCTCTTCGGCCTCCATCACCTTTTAAGCATGTGCCTAAACATAACTCTTTGATTTTAAAAGATTGATTTAATTTTGCATTCTTTTTATTCCGTCATTTAAACCTTCCGTCTTTGTAAGAAGTCAGTGCACCTGCATCAAAGTAAACGTATATTTTGAAATAATTTAATTTCATGTTTCATAAGTCCTACGAATGCCAAACTGAACCATGCAGCATAAATGTGAAAATGAAGACAATGTATTCTTTTTACGCTTTTATATTGTATATTAAAAAACTCGTTTCGTCTTGACAAAAATGCTACTGATGTTACTGGATTACATTTTCCACTGCACTACACTCACTTTGTGAATGTACGATGACACTATGCAGTGAAAAAATTAAATTAACATAAAATAAATCTAAATCAGATTCAAAAACAACAACCACGTTTTTAGCAAGATTTCACTAGTTTTTTGACATACTGCACGTTCTATTAGCGCTGATTCTCTGAAATGTTAAACTTCTGATGTCAATATCCCAAAAAGTCAAAAGAAAACGTGTGACTAACGTTTCAAACTTCCTAAAAATACATGTAATTTTTTTATATTCGCAGTGAGTGTGTTTCGTTTCTATAGGATCCCATAACTGTTGAAAAATTAGTTAGTATTAATAGTTATAAATAATAGTAGGTATATAAATTTAAGACAATTTATGTTAATTCTATTACAATAATTGATGTGGAAACAGTATTTCCTACAATTTCCGTTGATGGGATAGTGTCTTCATGCATAATAAACTTCCTTATACTGCAACACAGACATAGTTTTCATTAAAATTCTTATACCATATCTTAAAATTTACGTGACTGGCATGATCTATTTTATGAGTCAACAGAGGCTCCTCCATTTTAATGCAGATTTTGATGTACATTTGGAAGAGAAAATTTTATTTGTACAGGTTTTAAAGTACGTTTAGAGGAGAAATATTGGTTAATATATTAATGCAAGCCATAAATGGCGTCTATGAGGAAGTCATGTAGTATAGTTCCAATTTAAAATTAAACCGTTAGCATTTAAAACAGTTTCTTACACCTGCTTAATTGCTTCATTAATTAGAAAATTGTGATTTTCTCAACAGTTTGGTTACTTATGGGCGCATTACTGAGCCGTGACATTAATTATTTACTGATGCAAATAAACACGCAGCGTTAAATTTTCACTTTCAGTGATGTATTCTCCGAAAGCAACGCGCCTTACATTATAAATGTTGTTTGTTAAAAAAACTGGCATTTTTACTAGTAAAAAATCATCACTTGACATTTTAATATTGGTTACAAATTCGACATGAAATATCAAGGTTATTACAGTAAGAAAACTAGCTATATTTGCATCATTTGCACGAACAGAAACATCGGAATAGCTGCAATTCAGGAAACTTCGAGGCTCTTCATTTGAACCTTATTTAGCTCCTAAAACGACATTGAAAAGTTTTAATCGAAAATCGTAGCTGTACTTTCTAACGGTGTTGTTATTATCTCGAGACGAACAGATACGAACATGACTCACAAACATGAACTATCAAAATCGCAAATTGATCTATTCTGTTTTTCATAAGATTGTAGATTTTCATTTTCGTTTACACTTTCTCCAATAAAAAGGTTTGCATTTTCAGTCGTAATATTTGTCACATAGTAATTAATAAAAAGAGAAACGACCAAAAACAGAACAAATTGATTAGAAATTATTTGTACAGGTAATTAGTACAGTGCTGCACTGCGAGCCGTTTGAAAATCTGGCATGGCGTCAGATCAAACGTTTCACTGTAAACTCCAACACTGCTAATTGTGCAACGTTTAATTATTTACTATTATCCTTAATGCCGTTATTAGTTAAAGCGGATGTGTTGGTTTCCTAATCTGACGTTGGAGTCTCCACCTAGGTGTTCGGATGTAGGTCCGGTTTCTTGCAGAAAGATGGCCAGGGCCGTCTTTTGGACGTTTCAGGTTAAAGAGAGCGCTTATAAAAGGCAGTTCAACAGTAGCTTGCTGGTTACTCGGGGCCTCAATAGCGAAAGTTGCCCTGACGGAGTTGTGTGGTGTGTTGTTGGGCATGTGGCGAAGTGTGTAAGTGAGATTCCGGGCTCTGTATAGTGACATAGTGTGCCTAGTGCAGCTCGACGCGGCAATTACTGCCGTCTTCAAATAAAAGTTTAAACTTTACCGCAAAAAATACATTCAGTTCGCTCCGTTTTGTAAGAAGACAGAAAAATGGCAAGCGGCACCCTTCTTATGTAAGTCTTGACATTTTCTTTCAATTTAAGCAAATTTGTTATTTACCTGAAAATATGTCACATCTCTGTTTGCTGTATACATGAGATAAGCGAAGAAAGTCGAAACTTGAGTATCTGGCGTAATCGGTGACAATATGTTTAAACACGTAATCAGGTTTAAAATTCGATTTTTAAGAATACTAACCCAAAAGGACTCATTACGTGGAATTGCCTCCATCAAAATTTTACGAAGTAACGCAGTTACCAAGTCTGCAAGTGAAATTTTGGAATGCGAACGTTTTCAGTATTGCACGAAACTGTGTTAACTAAATTAACGCCAGCATCTGGTGTCGTTTGTTCTCTTCGACGAGAAAGGAATACACGTAAAAAATATTAAAAACGATAGTTAATCTAGGTTAAGTGTTTTTTATTATTCTGCACTGTTGCAACATATCTATTTCTAATTCTGTTTTTAATTACATAAAAATGTGTAAAATACTTTTAACAATGTATCAGGTTATTTAAAGTTGGTGATTTTAAATTTTCGCAATATTTTATATAACAAAAAAATTAATCATGCCGATATTAATTTCCTCGTTTCTTTTGTTAGGTAAATTATAGAAGTTATTAACTACAGATTTAATTTGTCTATGTTCATTTTGGCGCAAATTACTATCACCTTACCAATAAAAACGCTAAATTTTAGAAAAAGTGGTTACTATAAACATACCAGTCACATTAGACACATCCTGTTAAATCTATAGTATAACCACATTATTGAAATTAAGAATTAAAATAAAAAATAAAGATACACAAGATTTTCTTAAGTTAAAACTTAAAAATATGAAATATGTACCTACAAATTGAAAATTCAGATATTAGTATAATAAAATCATGGCAATAACTATAATTAGGTACTGTGATAAATAATTAGCTGCATTTAAAAGTATACTAACTATGTCAAGAATATTAAACAAATAAACTACTAAAATAATACAAATAATTCCAAAATACTGTACAAGATACAAAAAAGACATTATAGTTGGTTATAGATTCACAATTTTATTGTGAATAATAAGATGAGTTAGACATTTTTGACATAAAAATGATATACTTATTAGATGATTTAAGTCAAAAACGAAACAACATTATTTAGCACTTGGAGAACAGAATTACAAAATGAAATTTCAAAAGCACAATCAATTCTAATTACTTTTTTGAGATAGCGCGGTATACATGTTGCTTCTGAAGAGTTAAACAATTGTCTATAACAATTATATACGCTCATTAAAATTTATGGTAATTGTAAGTGGACTGTAGTTCTGATTTAGTGAAATAAGTTTAAAACGTTTTCAGTTTATTTACAATAATAATTTTCGTTTAAATTCGATGAAGACAGTAGCAGATCCCTCTATACAACACTTTTAAGTGAATAAAATTGTTATTTATATTAGTATAGTAAAATGTAATGTAGAGGGTTTACAATGTAGAAAATTTTTCCGTTTTTAAAGGGTGACTGATAATGAAAAATATTAATATAAAAGTGTGCAACAGGAACAGGATTACAAATTTGACTCTTGATAATAAAGTTGCTTTCTAATATATGTTGTGTCGTCTCTAAATACTTGATATTTACAGATAATTGCCATTTGTGTGTATTTCCGTTGTTTTTATGACACTAATAATTGTGTAACATTTTTCTGTTGGACAACTCACATTTTTAAATACATATACAATTATCCTCTATGTAAACTGCAGACAACCATTAAAATTTATCACCTTTAAAGCTTGCAATAACAAAAACTTTTATGTTATAATGACAGTTTCTAATAGACCAAAGTATGCACTGCAAAATTACACTTTAGAACTATTGACAAAGAAGTCATTTTTCGTAGCAAGTACTTAGTATGAAGTAGCAGACAAAACTTAGCGATAAAGTATATTCGCAACAATTACCTACACTGGATTTGTCAAAATTTTGGTTGTTACATTTAAGTGTAAAAATAGAATAATAAAAGTGACAAATATACTGTGGATTTAAACATTCGCTTAATGTAGAAATAACATCATTGTGTTAACTTAAACTTTTTGATACATCGAATTGTGGCTAAACCCACATCTATTATACCATATGAATCTCCTGAAAATTTTGACGCAAATAACGTTTCTTTGTTACGTCTGCGACTTTCCACACTTAAACAAAAACAGAAGTATAGAGTCATTTTTATACATACATAATGAAACACCTCAGTGGATAAATGTATAAAAGTTTGATTTTTCAATCACATTTTATTTAAAATTTTAATAAATTAAATTTGCTTGTGTTTGGCAGTTAGATTGTTTATTAAAATCTCTGTTTCGAAAAAGTTCGATCGAAAAATCATTAAAATAATAAAACACATATAACGTACCAGAAATCTACATTGTGTGTATATTTTTTGTAAACGAAACGTAAATTATGGCTTCATTTGTAATAACTAAACGATTCATGAATAAGATCTCGTAAGAATAATTTCACTTTCTTATGAAAACAATAGAATAAATTACAGTTCAACTGTGGCTAAAGTAAATTAGGTAATGTGATGGTTTAAATCTATATAACTAATATTACCTGTTCACAATGAATTTTAAAATTGGAAAATTAAATTCTTACATTATAGTTTACCCGTACCATCGCTATTTTGTAAAAACAAATGTACAAACAATTTGCAGGAAGCAGTTTTATCCACAAATGTTTTTACATTTAACATTTATATAACATTATAATGTGCATGGCATCTTCATTAAAATTTATGATACTTATGCCCCGTTAGTTTGTGTGCAGTTGAACTTTACTCACTCAAGGTTTTTACTTTTACCGCTTCGACGGAATTAATAAGTACTTAGTGTTAGACATCTCTCAGCAGGGAAAGTGGTAGACTGCGGTTATCTTTTTGTAGCTTGAGACCGCATTATTACATTGTAATATTGGCTCTTTTGCAACTTGTTGAAAAATACTGCAATCGTAACACCAATATGAGAAAAAATTTAACAACTTCTGAACTTTACCCATGAATTGGGTCATTATTATTACATTGGGATTCAGTTCTGCAAGCATTTAAAGCAGCTGAAAAATGTTGGAATTTGGGTGTTTTCTTTGGCATGATTTCGATATTTTCAAGAAAAAGTGTAATTATTCCACTTACACACTTGGTGAAGTGAAACTAGACTTAAGAAACTCATCCTCACGAATTATTGTGGTACATTCATCATGACGTGCCAAATTAGTAGTGCATTTTACCTGCACATTTCTTTTAATGAGTAATCAAACGATGCAATTAAGGATTGTATTCACAATACTCTTCATGCAGAGGTCAAATAGAAAAATAATACTCTTTATAGTTAATATAGTTCTCACGGAAACGATGTGAATTCTCGACAGGAATCAGACTATGAAAAATAGTTATTAATGAGCAAGATAATGATCATTATGTTAATTTTATGCGGTCGATTGTCATATTTTGACAATGACATTTTAACATATGTGCACAATCTTCCTGAAATTTTTTACTGAAAGGGAAACAATATCATATTTTGCCTGAAGCACAGTTAGAATACTTTTGGGGCTGAAACTTTCTTCTGTTCGGAAGGTCGTGATCTGACCTTGATCAACAAATTTCTCCATCTTTCACTCTCTTCTGCCCAACCCAATGGGGATTGTATGTCAATGGCACCGACGCCACTGCCCATTGACAATGAAAGTGAAAGAACTTAATTCCTAATTTTGAGCGAAACAAATATTTTTTAATCACTGTGTGGAGTTTTGCAAAATTTATGTTTCAGCAACTGCAAACTTTCTTTATTGACATTAAAGCAATGATTAAGTAAGTGACTGAATAACAAATGTCTAGCATTAAAAAAATCTATTGTGTGACACCTAAATATATTTATAAATATAATTAGAAAGCTATCTCGTAATGCACACGTCTATATAAAAATCACATTTAATCATACTTGTTTTCTTGTTATGTAACATCGTTGCTTCTTCTTTGTGTTAATGGTTTGTTAGATTTAACAATTTAAATTTATTGTCTAATAAATTTTACGAAACTTTTGCATTTTAAATACGCACCTATCCAAAGTACTTGATTCCACCCACAATTCCTATTTACTATTTTTTATATAATTAGCGTAGAAAATTACTGAATTTAATGGATGTAGAATGAAAAGAATATTTATTGGCACATAAAATTTCTTGGTAAAAACCACACGACATGATGTTTAAACTTAAGTTGTTTAACGTTAGAAACTATTGTTTCTATTTGTTTGTTATCAGATATCGCCAACTTTAGGCTTTCAGTCAAAGTTGGAGGAAAAATAACAAACGTCAGGTACATTCAAAAATTGTATCTTAACTTGACAGTATCAGAGTACATACGAGATTTGCCGCAGATTTAAATCGTTTGCCTATACATGTATTCAGCAACACAAATAAGAACTTCCAGAAAAAAAAATAGTCTCATCAAAATATACATAGTCCAGAAGATAATTTGAGTTATACATCTCACCAATTATTTCTTTACCTTCGAAATATTTTTATTACTCCTTCTCGCAACAAATCGATGTTTACAACATATTTCTTCTCTTAGATCAGATAAACTATTCATTTTATCTGCAGGCCGGTATTCGAGTTTGTATATTTTGTTATTCTGTACACAGCCTGACCTGGTATATACCATTGTTGTTGCAATACAATTTGCACCAGAATTGACCTATACTAATTAAATCAGTACGAGATTTTATGTTATATATAATCAGTAAAGATAAAATGTTTCCTGTTACCGCGTAAGTATATTTACAACAAAAATATTACAATCAAAGTAGATTGATAATATGTTTTTACTTAAAAATATGTAAACAATAATAATAGCGAAAACATTAATACAAATCAGAATGAAAGTACATAAATATTGTTGTTATTGCTAAGAATTTAATACGATAAAAGCTCCAACAGCTCAAATACCTATCTGTAGGAAACAACT